TCAGGCAGGGCCCCCCCACCCCACCTCGCTGCCCAGCCTGGGGGCCTCCAGACAAGCCTGACCCTGCTCACCACCCTGCTGGCAGTCTTCTCCCCCGGGGGCGGGGGAAGGGAGATGGCTTCAGGGGCCTGGACCCTGGGCAGATGGAAGGATGTGGGAGCCCCAGGGCTCTGTGAGCCCAGCCAGAGGAAGGCTTGTGGGCCAGGTGAGGAAGCTGAGGCCCCGGGGGACAGTGGGGAAGCGTATGGGGGGCTGTGCCCTAGGGAATGCCCCTCTCTTTCTCCTCCTGCCTCTGGAACGAGCCCAAGTCTTGGTGCAGTGTGCCCAGCCTGGTGCCTTGGCTTCCGTAAAAAGATGTGGGTGCGCTGCAAGGTGGGGGGCTCAGGCAGGAAAGGAAGCAACTCATAATCCCTTAACTCAACCCCGACTGCGCCCACATTGCCTTGAGCTTGTGGGATTGGCCCAGGGCCACAGTGGTATCTTCAAAGCGTGTGGGGGGCAAATGATTGGGTTTCTCTCTCCGCCTCCTCCACTCGCCTCACTGACCCCCCAGGCAGCTGCTCGCTGACTCAGTGGTGTGTGTGGGGGGGGGAGGGCCACAGACTCCCTAACTGGGAAGACACTGCAATTCCCACTAAAGCCAGGTCTTGCCTGGGAGCAGAAGGGAGCGGAAGGAGGTGCCCCGATTCTGCCAGGTGCCTCCTGGCTGCCCACAGCCATTCTCTCTGCCACTCGGGCCCCAGTGGTGGATGGGGAACACGGTGCCAACACACTGAGAACCCCAGCCCCTGGCCAGGGAAAGGGCCGAGAGAATGGGTATGGTGCCGGCTGGGCCCTCCTGACGGCCCCTCCTCGCCCTGGCCTGCAGGCACGTCCATCATGTGGCCCCTCTGGTTCCTCACGTCCCTGCTGGCCCTGAGCCAGGCCCTGCCCTTCGAGCAAAAGGGCTTCTGGGACTTCACCCTGGACGACGGGCTGCCCATGCTGAACGATGAGGAGGCTTCGGGTACCGACACCTCGGGCGACCCGGACATGGACTCCCTCACGCCCAACTTCAGCAACATGTGTCCTTTCGGCTGCCACTGCCACCTGCGGGTGGTTCAGTGCTCCGACCTAGGTCAGTCTCAGGGCTGTGGCGGGAGGGGTGTGTGGAGGCGCGGGCACAGCCCGAGTGCCCCTAGAAAAGGGACACACGTCTGCCCTGTGGGATGGGCGTGGGAGGATGGGAGCGCAGATGGGTGACCCCAGGCAGGCTCTGGGATCCTGATTTCAGTGTGGGCGGGTGGCGGTGGCGGGGCCCCTGGGTGTGTGTCCGTGTGTGTGAGTGCCCCCTTTTGGGGACGTGGCCTGGGCTCACATGGGTGACAGCGGCACTGGTCCCCAGATCTGATCACTGTGCCCAAGGAGATCTCGCCCGACACCACACTGCTGGACCTGCAGAACAACGAAATCACCGAGCTTCGGAGGGACGACTTCAAAGGCATGCCGCACCTCTACGTAAGCCCGCCCAGCCCTTTTTTAAAAAATATATATTTTTATTGATTTCAGAGAGAGAAAGGGAGAGGGAGAGAGAGGGGGGGGGGGAAACAAACATCTATGATGAGAGAGAGGCACTGATCGGCTGCCTCCTGCACGCTCCACACTGGGGATCGAGCCCACAACCCAGGCATATGCCCTGACCAGGAATCAAACCGTGATCTCCTGGTTCATAGGTTGATGCTCAACCACTGAGCCACGCTGGCCGGGTCCACCCTGCCCTTTCGAAGGGTCTTGGGGAGGTGGGTGGTCTGCAGCTAGGAGTGGATCCAGATGGGTGTGTGTTCTTGTACTTGTGGAGTGCAAGAGGGACCTGGGACCTGTGGGGTCCTGAGAGGAGTCTGGAGGTGGGCGTGGAGGGAGTGCCCGGGGTCAGGGTCACGTGCATGGGTGTCAGCAACCACAGAGCAGAATGGGATCACTCAGCTTAATCGTCTTTTTGGCTGGAAACTTCATTGATTTTTCGCAAGAACATATTTCATTGTATCCAGGGTACAAGTGGGGAAACTGAGGCTCATAGGAGCGTTGGGCCACGCTAGGCAGTAGTGGCATCGCCTGGCTCCGGGTTCTGTGCTCTGCCCACCCAGCTGGGCCTCAGACACCTGTGAAGTAATGGCCACTACTCCTGCGCTCTCCGCCTCTGGCTCCAGGTGGCAGCGGAGGGAGAGGGGAGAGGGCTGGGTGGGCCAGGGAGCTGGGCCTTCACCTCAATGCCCACTCCCCTGCCCCCCCACTCCTCCCCCCCGCCCGCC